AATCAGTGGAGTAGTTCAGGGGGCATAGTGACCCTGAATGCTTCCAATAATTAAAAATCAAATTTGCATCTTTTCCACTGTAGATTTCATAATAGCCCTTGTGCCTTTTTGTAGTACACAGTAATCTCTAATACGAATTCAAGTAGGCCCAAAAGGCAAGCAGGCTATCTGTCTGTCATCTGGTCTTTTTTGCTGTTGCTTATTAAAATGGTACTTACCCAAATCCAATTTGTCTTGCTTACCTTCGAACATGTTTTAAATGCACATCTGATTTTAATAACATCTGGAAAATATGAAGGATTTTAAATCCCCTCAAGTACAGGATTCTCAACAAATGAGGCCACGGCATGCTTTATAGAATCATAAAATAGTTTGGGTTGGAAGGAACCTTTAAAGGTCATCTAGTCCAACCCCCCTGCCATGGGCAGGGACATCTTCAACTAGATCAGGTTGCTCAGAGCCCTGTCCAACCTGACCTTGGATGTTTCCAGGGATGGGGCATCCACCACCTCTCTGGGCAACCTGTGCTAGTGTTTCACCACCGTCAGCGTAAAAAATTCCTTCCTTATATCTAGTCTGTATCTACCCCCCTTTAGTTTAAAGCCATTCCCCCTTGTCCTGTTGCAACAGGCCCTGCTAAAAAGTCTGCCACCATCTTCTTTATAAGTCCCCTTTAAGTACTGAAAGGCTGCAATAAGGTCTCCCCGAAGCCTTCTTTTCTCTAGGCTGAACAACCCCAACTCTCAGCCTTTCTTCACAGAAGGGGTGTTCCATCCCCCTGATCATTTTCATGGCCCTCTTCTGGACCTGCTCCAACAGGTCCATGTCTTTCTCATGCTGAGGGCTCCAGAGCTGGGTGCAGTACTGCAGGTGGGGTCTCCCCGGAGCAGAGTAGAGGGGCAGAATCACCTCCCTCGACCTGCTGGCCACGCTTCTTTAGATGCAGCCCAGGATAAGGTTGGTGTTCTGGGCTGCGAGCGCACATTGCTGGCTCCTGTCCAGCTTTTCCTCCACCAGTACCCCCAAGTCCTTCTTGGCAGGGCTGCTCTCAATCCCTTCATCCCCCAGCCTGTAGTGATACCGGGGGTTGCCCTGATCCCTGTGCAGGACCCTGCACTTGGTCGTGTTAAACCTCATGAGGTTCACACAGGCCCACTTCTGGAGCTTGTCCAGGTCCCTCTGGATGGCATCCCGTCCCTCTGGCGTGTCGACCGCACCACTCAGCTTGGTGTCACCTGCAAACTTGCTGAGGGTGCACTCGATCCCACTGTCTGTCATTGATGAAGATATTAAACAGTACTGGTCCCAATACGGACCCCTGTGTGACACCACTAATCAATAATCTGCATCTGCTTTGCATGCACAAATGTGCTCTTTCTGTGTTGCATACACGTGCACAAGTGCAAAGAACTGTTTTAAAGGCAGTGCTTCGTATATTTATTTTTGACTGCCTTACTTCATAGATCAGAATGAGTGAGTTTCTTTTACTAGAAGTAAATGTGTACATAGATGTTTTCCCCCCCCAAGGAATCCATTGCTTGAGTGAAGATAGAGGGACAGGAGATGCTTAGAAAATATGATAATAATTGGTGGCTGAAATTCCAGGGCCTGTAATGAGACACTGTTTTAATCTGATACTTTTTCAGTGCTGTTTTAGTCTCATGCCCACCCTTACTGTAGTAAGAGAGTGCACTTTGTGTGGCACAGAACAGATAAATACTTGTCGTCCCACCCTCCCCCCCGGGTTTTCAATACAAAAATAATGCTTCTGTAATGTTTTTCTTTCAAATTCTGTTTTTCTATTTTTAAAAATGTATTTCTACTTAAATATCTTTTCATTTTAGTGATGCTAATGCTGATTTTTAGTAACAAGGGAAGAATTTCCTTATTGGTAAGCGGAGTTTTCTGATTTGTGGAGCTTCTAAAATAATTGTAGATCAACTGACTGGAAACGAGCCTAGTAAAATAAAAATGAAAGTAGTTTAATTGGCTCTATGACGATTAGTTATGTTCTCAACATAGTCTATTTGTTGTTGGATTAAGAAGATAGATTGGGTTTAAAAAGGGAAATGTTTATCTGTAAAGGCCAGTCAGGCACCTTTTTTTCCAGAGATGATTGTTTATTTGTTCAAATATATGTAGGTATGCTAGCCTGCAAAGTATCTATGAAACCTGCTGTATTTAGTTTTGTTTTATTTATGATATATATAAAAGTGTCTGAGAGATGAGGGGAAAGGACCATAATTTCATGAGAAATGTTTCTTTAATATACAGAACAGAAACAACAGGAATTGGTTTTGTGTGTTACTACTGGAAGACCTTTTTGGAGACTCATCAGATCTTGAAGTCTGTGAATCAGTATAAGGGGCAAGGTGGTGAATATTTTTTTTTTTTTTAAATTATATTGTTAGTGTCCACCATTTGTTTTAGAATCATAGAACAGCCCAGGTTGGAAGGGACCTCAAAAGATCAACTGGTCCAACCTTCCATGGGAAAAGGAGCCTAGATGAGATTATCTAGCACCCTGTCCAGTTGCGTCTTGCAAACCTCCAGTGATGGGGACTCTACCATGTCCCTGGGGAGGTTGTTCCAGTCATTGATTGTTCTCACTGGAAGAAAATTCTCTTATGTCTAGATGAAACCTCTCCTGGTGCAACTCTTGCCCGTTGCCCTTTGTGTTCTCTGTGTGACTTCTTGTGAAGAGAGAGCCTCCGTCTTCTTTGTAGCTGTCCTTTAAGTACTGGAATACTGTGATGAGGTCCCCCCTGAATCTCTTCCAGGGAGACAAGACCTAACTCTTTCAGTCTTCCCCCACCGGGCAGGTTCTCCAGCCCTTTGATTGTCTTCATGGCCTTCCTTTGGACCCTTTCCAGTCTGACCATGTCTTTTTTCAGTTGTGGGGACCAGAACTGGACACAGTACTCCAGGTGCGGCCTGACAAGCGATGAGTAGAGTGGGATGATCACATCTCTGTCTCTTCTAGTAATGCTCCTGCAGATGCAGCCCAGGATCTGATTTGCCTTTGTTGCTGCAGCGGCGCACTGCTGACCTCATGTTCAGCTTGTTGTCCACCAGGACCCTCAGGTCCCTTTCAGCAAAGCTGCCCCCCAGCCACACAGATCCTAGCCAGTACTGGGCTCTTTGGTTATTCCATCCCAGGTGCAGGACCTTGCACTTGTCTTTGTTTAACTTCATGCAGTTCTTGCTAGCCCTCTCTTCCAGGCTATCTGGGTCTCTGTGGCTCTCCCTTGTGACGTGTCTACTTCATCATCTAGTTTAGTGTCATCAGCAAATGTGGTGAGGGTGCTTTCAATCCCATCATCCAGGTAATTTATGAAGATACTGAACATCGTGGGGCCTGGTATCAATCCCTGGGGGACCCCACTTGTGACAGACTGCCAGCCCTTTTTATTTAGCAACTACTTAGTTCAGTTGAAAAACTTCAAGCAATTAAGTTCTATTTCAGTTATTTGAAAGATTATAAAGTAGAGGTCTGACTGTGATGTTGCTGAATCTCCAGTCTCCATCTCATGTTTTCCTGTAAGAATATTCTGTTTGTGCTCTTAATGCTGCAGCCTGATCTGCTTAGTAAGTAATCAAGTGATCAAGCTGTATTGCTGATAAAGCATGTCCTGACCATTTTTTAAACTGTGGTGCCAACTTCTTTTCAAATCATAAAGATTTGGTCAGGTTTTTTTTCTAACAACCCTCTTGGATATTCAGAGATTACTTCAACTCACAAAAGGGAGGTAAATCGTAGTTCTAAGTAGGCAGCGGTGTTGCTGGCATTCTGCAAACCAAATAATGAGCAGAGAGTTACAAAGCCTATTCAGCAAAGAAAGGGCTGTCTGTAAGAATGAAGGCACAAGATAAAGAATAATCCCTAAAACATATCCTGGAAGACATGCCTTGTACTCAGTGACAACAGTTGGAAATCCGGTTTACAGCACAAAAGCAGTTTCTTCTGTTAAAATTAGCAGGAAATGAAGAAGGCAACACTGAACTAAAGCAGGAGTTCTGAGAGCAATTACTAGAAATATAGATGAAATTGGTAATCTAACATTCATTTTGCAATATTATTCAGTCAGGCTGTTTTGTGTAAGGTTTATACAGCAGGAAATACTGGATTTTTCCTTTTTTCTTTTTTTTTGTAGAATTTAGTGATAGGTATCGGGTTTTTTTAAAATCCATATATCTGTTGTTCACTGGACAATTGTATCATCTGTGCACTTTGTTCACTATAGTGCCTCTGTTTATTCATGCTCAAAAACTATCTATGCTTGTAGTTTGGCTTAAAAACAAAAAATAAGATTGCAGTGTGCCACTGATACAGTATGCTAAATAAATTTATCCTGATGGGTAATATAATCATAATGTGATGGAAAAGTTTTTTGCAAATACAATATGGATTAGTACAGCTGTTCTTTGCTAGCTAATCACAATTGTTACTTCTCTAACTTACTGAATAAAATAACCACTCTAGGAAAGCTGAGAAATGATATATCAGCTTGAACATACCAGTTGTGTAAGAGAATAGGCTAAAATTCTTTTTAATTTAGAAGTGAGTTTTTATGAACTAGTTTGCGTACAATTCTGTGGCTTTCATTTCTTTTAAAGTCTCCACATTTTTACTGGGACTAGAATTATTTGAGGTAAGTGATTAATTATATGGCAATGCTATGGGAAAAGAAGTGAAAAGCTTTTTTTAATGCAAAATGTAATTAGTGCTGTAAAATGGAAGGAAAAAAATTGAGTGCTGAAATATCAATTATAGAACACTCATATTTTCAGTAAATAGAAACCAATTCAGTGATGCAATTCCACCACCTTTTCCACATATGTGGGAATGATGCTTGCTACCCACTTTTTTCCAAATATGCTCGACTGCACAAAGAAACTGGTAAATTGCTGCTGAGATTTGTTATTCTTAATTTGTCTGTAATACTTACTGAAATTGATAAATACTTCAAAAGTCTTAGTGCGTGACTGTTTGCTTATAGGACACTGCTCTACAAAAACCAAGAGAAGTTTTCAGGCTACCTACGGACTTGACAGCTTGTGATAATCGCCTTTGTGCCTCAATACACTTCTCATCTTCCACATGGGTTACCCTTTCTGATGGTACAGGAAGACTGTATTTAATTAAATCAGGCAAGCGTGGAAACAATGCATCTGAAAAGTGGGAGGTAAGTTGTGCAATAACATATTTAAGAATTGAACATCTACCAAATAATTCTTACTCTTGCATTTCTTATGAGAATTGCACGTATGTAATGTTGTGAAGAATTAAGCTTTAAATCATAACTGTATCACTGATACAGGACTGTGTTAAAGTATAAAAATCATTGATTTTTATACTAATGACTAAATTAGTGATTTCTTTATGCACAAAATATCTAAAATTCAGGTGTTTGAAAGGGAGCAACGTTTTGACTGAAGAAGAATCTGTCTAAGTAAAAGTGAGTGTTTCTAAATAGGTCGCTAAATGCTTGTCTAGCACAACTTTTTCTAAAAAACATTTCCCCTTTCCCTTCCCTA